GTCGGGCGAATAAGTTTTTCGCGACCAGAACGTTGCTCCCCAATCAGAAGCCGCGTGCCCACTTTAACCTGACTTCACAAAATTCTGCAACATCCCATCATACTCACCTGCTGCAGGCGTGAATTAGGTCTTTCAGGATTCTCCAATCCTTGCATCGATGCCCGGGAGGCTCAGATCCAGCGTGCTGTGAAAACATAGATGCACATATGCACATACACACACATATTTGTTCTTTGGGGGGGCGCGTGATAGGGTGTAGGGTTGGGCCCCCCAATTCCATTCCCTCAACCCTAAACCCTAAGCCCTAAGCCCTAAGCCCCAAACCCTAAGCACGAAACCCTAAACCCTAAACCCTACACCCTAAACCCGAACATGCATCCACTGGGCGCGCGTAGGAGCAGCCCGGCCAAGCGCAGCGTCTCCTTTCACCTGATGGCCCCGGAGGGTGCGGATGCGCCGGGCCCCCCCAGCTGGGGTTTAGGGTTTAGGGTTTAGGGTTTAGGGTTTAGGGTTTAGGGTTTAGGGTTTTCGGGTTTCCGGTTTCACGGTGTCAGGGGTCTCTGCCCTTGGACCCTCAGGTTGTACCCTTGGGTTTGGGGACCTTTTAAAAGGTCCTCTAAAGGAATATAAGGGCCACACCCCAAAGCCCTAAACCCTAAACCCTAAACCCTAAGCCCTAAACCCTAAACCCTAAACCCCACATTAGGGGTGTTTAAAGGGAACCTTTTAGAGGTACATCCTTAGGGGTCCGAGTATGACTCCCTTGATGGTGTGGAGTTTAGGGTTTAGGGTTTAGGGTTTAGGGTTTAGGGTTTCGGGTTTAGGGTTTCGGGTTTAGGGTTTAGGGTTTCGGGTTTAGGGTTTCGGGTTTAGGGTGTTTCGGTTTTGCCGTGTGAAGCCTGAGCACACGACAATCGCAACCACCCCGAAGATGAGGTGGAGGGGGGAGGGGGGAGGAGGGGTTTAGGGTTTTGGGTTTAGTGTTTAGGGTTTAGGGTTTTAGGGGGGCAGGGGGCAAAGGGGGAGCTGGGAGGGCGCCCCTCAAACCTTAAGCCATAGGTCTTTGGTCTGAGGGTTTAGTGTATCGGTTATCTTAAATGTGGTTCTGCATATTCAGAAGACATTCAGAAGTCCCTAAGCCCTAAACCTAAAGCCTCAACCCTCAACCCCATAATCCCTAAACCATGAATCCTAAACCCTAAACCCTAGACCCTAGACCCTAAACCCCAAACCCCCAACCCCCAACCCCCAACCCCCAACCCCCAACCCCCAACCCCCAACCCCCAACACCCAACCCCCAACCCCCAACCCCCAACCCCAAACCCCAAACCCCAAACCCACCCAAAAGCCGAAACCCGAAGCCCCTGAATTCGCAAGGATCCACCTCTGCTCCAAGATGCCGGCGCCACGCTCAGTGATACCAGGGCGAGGTTGAGGGCTTAGGGGGTTCGGGTCTAGGGTCTAGGGTCTAGGGTCTAGGGTTTAGGGTTTAGGGTTTAGGGTTTAGGGTTTAGGGTTTAGGGTTTAGGGTTTAGGGTTTAGGGTTTAGACTTGAGGGCCTAGGGTTCATAGGGCTTCGAGTTTGGGCTGTAATTAGGGAAGAAATGCCAACCCGGAACCTGAGGTCTCACTAAGACCCCAAGCCTTTACCCACAACCGCCAAACCTTGCAAACCCTCAGACCTAAACCCTATAACCCTAAACCCCACAACGCCCAAACCCAAACCTTCGGACCCGAAACCCCCCCCCCCCCTTCCCCCCAACCCCTAAACCCTAAACCCTAAACCCTAAACCCTAAACCCTAAACCCTAAACCCTAAACCCCCAAAGGCGTGGAACGCAGAGCTGGACAGCCTGATCCTGCCATTCGAGGACCGACTTGACACTGAAGCTAGGAAGGTCTTTAAAAGGCCCTGTCTTAGGGTTTAGGGTTTAGGGTTTAGGGTTTAGGGTGAGGGTTAGAGGGTTATGGGTGCGGGGGTTCTAGACCTGTGGTAAGGGTTTCACAGGGTTATGACTGGCGGGGTCGTTGTTTAGGGGCTTGCGTTTTTGGAGATTGGGCCTTCATGCCTATGTGTTTAGTTACGTTCTTTTTGGGTTTTGTGCTTTCAGGTTATAGGGCCGTAGGCTTGTAGGGTTTCGGGTTGTGGACCAGGTAGTCCCTTGGCATATTTTGCGTTTTCCCCTGAGGCTTAAGAGGATCGCATATCGGGATCTTTCTCACAGGCTTTAGAGGTCAACTTTGCAAAATCTCTGAGCTGGGAAGCCCCAGCTGCGGGTCTTATATAGCTTAGGGTTTAGGGTTTAGGGTTTAGGGTTTCGGGTTTAGGGTTTAGGGTTTAGGGTTTAGGGGCTTAGGGGCTTAGGGGGCTTTGGGGCTTTGGGGCTTCAGGGGGTTTAAGGGTATGGGTTTCAGTCCTTGAAAACACGTCATCTTCTATCATTCCTATACCCTGCAGACTGAGCTTAGGTTTGTATTCGCCCCAAGTGCATAGTTACCTTAAACCCTAAACTCTAACCCTTAAACCCCAAACCTACAGTAGGTTTAGGGTTCATGGTTTAGGGTTTAGGGTTTAGGGTTTAGGGTAACCCTAAACCTGAAACCCCGAACCTAGAGTAGCTATGAAACCTTCAGTCTCTTGAGCCAGGCCAACACCCCGAAGCCTTGGGATGCTCCCCCTTATACTACCGGGGATTATAATGGGTATAATAGGGGGTACGATAATCCCTCTTAAGGATTGCTAGTGTTCCTTAATTCGGGAGTATAATAGGGGTATGAGAATAGTACAAGGGAGAAAATCCCAACCGAAGCCCCAAAAGCTTTCGTCGCAACTTCGCCGCGCTTGTCCTTCCGGACAGCGCTGGTCTTTCCGGACGCGGCCCCTCCTCATCTGGCAGCCTTAGGGTTTAGGGTTTGGGGGTTTGGGGGTTTGGGGTTTAGGGTTTAATTAGACTAGGGTTTAGGGTTTAAGGTCTGCGCCGGTGTGGACTCCGGCTTCTACCAGTTCCTCGAGGCTTGACGCGGCTCCTCCAGCCCGCAAGCGTCGGTCTTCTTGCGAGGTTGAAAAGCACGGCGAGATTATTAATGTCGCACCACGCCAGCCTCGATCGTTTTGCGTGGCCTCACATCGTCTCTGGTGCCATTACAACAACACTTCGGACTGTTCGTTGGCGCCGAATTTTCGAGTAGGTTGCACGCTTCCAACGGTGGCAAAAGCCCGAAGGCGTGATTTGGACGTTTCCGAGCCCAAAACCGTAAATTTAACCCTATGTGCCCCTGAAGCTTTCAACGAACCTCCCCCACCCCAACCCAAGACCCTAAACCCTACATCGCTAAACCCCTCTACCAGCTCAAATCCCCACTTGGAAGCCCTTTTGACTTAGTAAATCTACTTAGTATCCGATAGAAATCCATCTAAAATCCCGACCGACTAAGTCAAATGGGCTTCGAAGCAGACCCTATAGACCGTAGACCATAAAGGTCCCGGAACCCTGGAGACCCTAAAGTATAAGGCACCCTCTTACACTCAGGAACATTCCTTACTTAAGGGGTATTCTTGGAGTCCCTGGGAACCCTAAACCCTAAACCCGAAACCCTAAACCTAAACCCTAAATACACCCTAAACCCTAAACCCTCAGGGGCGGAGCAACCTTGTTTCCTCGCCGCGGAACTTCGTGGTGCGATTGGCAGAGAACGCCGGGGTCTCGGCTGTGAAGTCCAGGCTCGAGGCTCTCACACGTAGGGTTTAGGGTTTAGGGTTTAGGGTTTAGGGTTTAGGGTTTAGGACTCAGGGCTCACGGCTCAGGGTTCAGGGGTTTAGTAGTTCTGTTTTCCATTGTTTGGCTTGGGAGGCCCGGTTCCTGCTTTTTTTGGTGTTCTTCGAAACCCTAAACCCGAAACCCGAAACCAGGGTGTGCTGACGTTGGATCTCAGGGGCCCCCTAAACCCTAAACCCTAAACCCTAAACCCTAAACCCTAAACCCTAAACCCTAAACCCTAAACCCTAAACCCACTTCTAGGCTATGAGCACAGCTCCTCTCCCCTGAAGTTTATTCTGAGATGCTTGCGTTTTGGGTTCAAGGGTACATAGATGCAAGTAGGGGCCCTAGCAGCAGTTAAGGGATTTCTGGCCGAAATAGAAAGACTTCTCATCCAATTCAGGGAAGCCCTAAGACCTAAACCCTACACCCCCAAATCTCGAACTTTGAGCCTTCAGCCCTTTAACCCTACTTGCAACCAGGGGGGCCCCTGCTTGTAGGGCTTAGGGTGTATCAGGCTTATGGGATAGGGATGCTATGGGGACTGTAAAAAAGGGTTTACCGTTTAGGGTTTAGGGTTTTTCGGGTTGAAGACAAGTCGCCATGTGGAGCGAAGTCTCCCGTTGTCCCAGGAGATGGCAGACAGAGCATGGAGGGATAGTTGGACCCCCCCCCCCCCAGCTTACCCATACTACTGGCCCACAGACCCCAACATGGTACAACAGCCATTGTTATACTGTTATGGGTAGTTTGGGGGTCTAGGTAATTACTAGGTATACCAAGACGTAGAGTAGCCGGTATACCCTTTCCAAGGCTCTGGCAAGAAGAAACGCGCATGCGCTATGAGCTCTTATAGTCATGCTCCGGCCAGGTGCTGTTTTGCCCACATTCAGGACAGAGAGCACAAAGAGGAATAACCCTCTTCTGCCAATTCGCTTTGCGTCCCCTCGGCGATGCCCTTGACAATTGAGGTGAGCCTACTAAGCGGCAGCACAGTTTCACTGGAAGCAGAGCCGGATGAGTCCCTCGAAACATTCAAGTGCCGGGCACAGAGGGCTCTAGCAGTTGGCAGAGGCAGACTGGTCCACTCCTCGGGAGCTGTTCTGGGCGGAGCAGCTACGCTGCAGGAACACGGGCTGCAGAACGGCGATTCGCTAACATTGCATATCGCAGGGTTCACGTTCGCGGCAACCGCCATGCTTTCGCTGCGATTTTGGGGGACGGGTCTGTGGTGACCTGGGGCATGGCTGACTCTGGTGGCTACAGCAGTGCTGTGGAAGATCAGCTGAAAGACGTCCGGCAGATCCAAGCTACCCAAAGAGCTTTTGCTGCCATTCGGGGTGATGGGTCTGTTGTGACCTGGGGACATGCTGATTTTGGTGGCGACAGCAGCGCTGTGCAAGGCCAGTTGCAGGATGTGCAGCAGATCCGAGGTACCCACGTGGCCTTTGCTGCCATTCTGGGTGATGGATCTGTTGTGGTCTGGGGAAGGGATGGCTATGGGGTCATCGAAAGCACTGTGCAAGAGAAGCTGCGAGACGTCCGGGAGATCCAAGCTACCGAAGGTTCTTTTGCTGCCATGCTGGGTGATGGGTCTGTTGTGACCTGGGGACCTGCTGACTCTACATCCCCCTTGGGAATAATTTTTCATTTTGTTTATACAAAGCCCAAGAGGATATTTTTTCCCCTAAACCCTAAACCCTAAACCCTAAACCCTAAACCCTAAACCCTAAACCCTAAACCCTATTGTTGTTTTTGTTTAAGGGGAGTGTAGGACTCTGGTGGCGACAGCAGTGCTGTGCGAGATCAGCTGCGCGACGTCCGGCAGATCCAAGCCACCGGCAGGGCTTCTGGGTAGCCCTGTGGTACCCTTTACCCTTTTTTTGGTTATGTGTTCCTTTTATAACCCCCCCCAAACCCTGAACCCTGAACCCTGAACCCTAAACCCTAAACCCTGAACCCTAAACCCTAAACCCTAAACCCTCTGGGCTCCCAAGGCTTTTGCTGCGCTGCTAGCCGATGGGTCTGTTGTGACCTGGGGCGATTCTGACTGCGGGGGCAACAGCAGTGATGTGCAGGGTCAGCTGAAGGACGTGCAGCAGATCGGAGGCACCCGCGATGTCTTTGGCAGCGCGTTTGCTGCAATTCGGGCTGACGGCTCGGTGGTGACCTGGGGTGACGAAGACAGTGGTGGCGACAGCAGCGGTGTAGAAGCTCGGTTGAAGGGCGTGCAGAAAATCCAAGCATCTGACTACGCTTTTGCTGCCATTCTGGCCGATGGATCTGTTGCGACTTGGGGCAGTGCTCCGTGTGGTGGCGACAGCAGCGCTGTTGAATCTCAGCTCAAGGACGTGAAGCACGTCCAATCATCGGAGGCTGCATTTGCAGCCATTCTGGGTGACGGGTCTGTAGTGACCTGGGGACATGCTAATTATGGCGGCGACAGCGGTGATGTGCAAGATCAGCTGAAGGACGTGCAGCAGATCCAAGCCACTAGCAAGGCGTTTGCTGCAATTCTGGGCGATGGGTCTGTTGTGACCTGGGGCGATTCTGACTGCGGCGGCAACAGCCGTGCTGTGCAGCATGAGCTGGTTGGATGTGTAGCAGAGCCGGCCAAAGCCTGTATATAATGAGGCCCACAACCCACCTTGGCAATGAGCCCTAAACCCTAATTAAACCCTAAGCCCCAAACCCACCATGAACCAACGGGAGGTGTGGTGATACCATGGGGCGGGGGGTGGAGGGCTCCGTGAATGCTGGTGCAGATAGTCTCAAGCCACGAAAGCTTAGGTTGATTTGGAACTGCTTCAAGGCTGTTTATGGGCGCGGTCCCTATACAGTATGTGACCCTATAGCCCATGGATCTTGATAGGACCTCCGCAATCCTCCCCAGAAAGCCCTAAATCCTAAACCCTGGACCCTATAAACGGCAATCAGCAGAGTGAGGAACGGCCAATCTTGCAGCACGCGCAGCTGGCAGACAACACGTGGTGCACGGGGCCCGGAGGGTTTAGGGCTTAGGGTTTTCAGGGCTTGTAGGGTTTTTAGGTTGGTGGATTTAGGGTTGCAGGGTTTGTAGGGTTTGTAGGGTTTGCAGGATTTGTAGGGTTTCTAGCTTTGCATCAACGCTGCCGTCTCCAGTTGTCGTTTAAGGAGCTCTGAGAGCTCAGTTGGTGTGTGTTTTGTATAAGGTGCTTTTGCTTTTGGGCTTAGGGCAGTTAGTATAAGGGGAAACCTCCCAAGTGAGCCCACGAAAATCAGGGGGGCCTCTCGGCCTTAAGCCCTGAACCCTCCAACCTCAAAACTGCCCTGAGCCCTGAAACCTCGAAACCCGGAATCCCTCAAGTGCCAACAGGTAGGGTCCCACATCGAAAAAGCAAGCAGGGAGAGCTGAGTTCAGGGTTTTCGGTTTAGGGTTTAGCGCTTGGGGCTTAGGGTTTAGGGTAGCCACCAAAGCCCTCAATCGTATATGCCCGAGGCGCCACGTGTAGTACAATGATGGAAAGAGGCGCCCTTCCCAACAGCCATGATCACTTGTTTTGTTGCCTACTTCCAGAGCAGTACGGCTTCGGGCTTAGGATTCCCTAAGCCCTTTAGGGTTTAGGGTTTAGGGTTTAGGGTTTAGGGTTTAGGGTTTAGGGTTTAGGGTAAGCCTACACCCAAACCCTCAACCTTTTGGGCGCACTCTAAGAGGCTTGGACTTCACGGGCCCGCTTAGCGTCGTTCAGGCCAACTGGCAGTGAAGACTTGACGGAGGGGGGGCGGTTTAGGGTTTAGGGTTTAGGGTTTAGGGTTTCGGGTTTAGGGTTTAGGGTTTAGGGTTTAGGGTTTAGGGCAAAGTTTCGGGTTTAGGGTTTAATGGTCAAACTGGTTGAGATTGTGGTGCCATTCCTTGATCCTTTGGAGATTTTGAGTGTTTCCACAGGGTTACTTGGGCGGGGGGAGGGGTAGCGCGGAGTTTGGGGGAATTCGAGTTGAGTGTAAGCCGACACCTATAGGTTCTAACACTACTAAGGATCTAAGAGGCCTCTAGCGCTCTTTAGGGCAGGATGACTCAATCCCCGTCTTCTCCCCCGAAACCCCTGGGCCTTCGGGCCCAAGCCAGGGGTCTCGGGTTTAGGGTTTAGGGATTAGAACCCTAAACTCTAAACCCTGAACCCTCAACTCTAAACCCCAAGCCCTTATCTCTAGACCCAAACTTGGGATGTTCCCCCTTATACTAAGAGTCCTTAATAGGGATTGTAATCGGGGGATGCTAGAATCCCTATTGAGGAGTGTTAGTATAATAAGGTGGAACATCCCAACACCAAACCCTCAACTCCAAGCCGCAACCTTCGTGTTGGCACAGGCCATGGCCATTGCCATGGCGTCGCTGAACTGGGATTGAACCACCCGCCCACACCCCTAGACTTTGTCATAGTAGGGTAACATTTTTCGTGTTTAAGGGGTGCTCAAGCTCAATAAGGAACACAGATGAAAATTTGTACTGCCATCCTAACCATGGACTAGGAAACCCGAGCACCTGACCCCAGTGACAGCCTTGGCTACACCAGCTGCATGCCCACGAAGCCGAATTCCGTTTTTTCGGGTTTAGGGTTTAGGGTTTAGGGTTTAGGGTTTAGGGTTTAGGGTTTAGGGTTTAGGGTTTAGGGTTTAGGCCCTTGGGACATGTTATATGTTCCCTTATTGGGCTTTAGGGGATCATATACACTTTGTGGTGCTTTACAGTAACTTTAGATCCTTAGCCTTTTTGGGCTCATTGGGTTTCTTAATCAGGCAGCTAAACATGTAATTTATGGCTACCCTTCTAAGTGCAGCCAAGTTCGGGAATATTTTTAGCCCTAAACCCTAAACCCTAAACCCTAAACCCTAAACCCGGGGTTTGAAGGGCCATCCTAGACCGCGTACCACGAAAGTTTGGCCGGTGTAAAGGGGAGGACCCTGAGTCCGAAACAACATACATGTATGGGGCCCCCCTAGTTATAAATAGGGTTTAGGGTTTAGGGTTTAGGGTTTAGGGTTTAGAGTTTAGAGTCTAGGGCTACATGTAGGGGCCCCCTAGTTATGAATCGGGTTATAAGGGCCCTCAATTGGGTTCTACGTCTTGCTACGTAGGTTCTAATTCCCTCAACTAAGGTTAGTATAGTTCGGGGGGCCCTAACTTGTAGACCTAGGCGACAGTAGCCTCAGCGGGGGGATAGGGGGTTCCTGGGCAGCAGGTACTCGAGCATAAAACTCAAGCCCATCCCTCTTAAACCCGAAACCCTAAACCCTAAGTCTGAAACCCTAAACCCTAAGCCCTAAGCCCTAAGCCCTAAACCCTAAACCCTAAACCCCAAACCCTAACCAAAACCCCGAACCCTAAACCCTAAACCCGAAACCCTAAACCCTAAACCCTAAACCTTGAACGGGTGGGCTGGGATGGACCTGAAATGTCTAGCAAACAGCTTCAGGCAAAGCGTAGGACGCGGCTAGGGGGAGGCTTGCCTATGGTTGGTCAAGGTTTAGGGCTTAGGGTTTAGGGTTTCAAGGTTTAGGGGTTAGGGTTTAGGGGTTAAGGTTTAGGGTTTAGGGTTGAGGGCTGTGAGCTTGGATCCCTGGTTTAGGCTCCAAATAGGGCTTGCCGAATCCGTCAATTGCCCTTGATGGCAACAATGGGCCTTTGACAGTAGGTACTTAGGGTCTTATCGAGGCTGGTACACGTAGGGCCCCCTGACTATACCATCTTTACTCATTTCGCTCAGGGAATACGAGCCTTAACAGTAAGACTTGTCACCCAATGTAGGCCCCCTATAGCCCTGATTTATAACTAGGGCGCCCTGCTTGTAGTAAGAAACAATCGGGGTTTGGGGGCTTCAAGCCAGCGCCCCAAAGTGCCCAGCATCCGAGAAAAAAAACCCGAACCTCTACGTACGCCCCAGGCGCAGCTTATCAGGGCTTAGGGGTTTAGAGTTTAGGGTTTAGGGTTTAGGGTTTAGGGTTTAGGGTATTGTTCGAGGCTTTGCCGCTTTCCCTTGGAGCGTGTCAGATATTTGCAAACTGCGGTAGGCGTTTAGTGGTCTGCAAAGCAGACCTGTCAGTGGAAGTACTCCCAGCTACGGGCATTTCTCAGAACATAAACCCTAAACCGTAAGTGCAGAAGTTGCGCAAGTCTTGGCACAAGCGGCTCGTCCACTGAGAAACGTCCATGCATGGGACCCTTCACCCTACTTGCCTCAAGCACCTGGTCATTTCTCTACTTTGTGGTCTCTTCCTGGGTATCCTGAATAATTGATTAATCAGAATATGTGTGTGTATGCAAATATGATAAACGTAAGAAGGGACCATAATTTGGAGAGCCTACCATCTCGTGTTCCGGCCGAGGATAACACGTGATGCAACAGGGAGCTGTTGTTTCGTCGCAGATGCACAACTGCCATTCCCAACCCCCCCCCCCCCCTTCCCCCAAGAAAAACGAAAAAAGCACGTAAGCCCTAAGCTCCAGATCTCAAAGGCCGCCACATATTTACGACCAGTTTCGATCAGACACACCCCCACCCAGCCCTCCCCTCACATGGAGAGTCATACCTCAAAGGCTGCGGCCCCAAATCCCCATCTGTTAGCCTCAAAGGCCACAACCTGGCACAATCGGATCCTCTGGTAGCCTGGTAAGTTTACCCTAAACCCTAAACCCTAAACCCTAAACCCTAAACCCTAAACCCTAAA